AAGATGTTTTAGAGCGAATTTTGTAGCAATCTAATTCTCATTTATCAAGATGTTCATGTTTATGGTCATGCTTAGGTCAAACTCTTTTACGCAAGTTAGGCTTGAGATTTGTAGGCTCAAAAACGCAGATAGGCAACGGTAGAAAGGAAAATCCAGAGTAGTAGGGACATGAGAGGTTTGTGATGAGACCTAGTGAGGCTCGAGGTGTTTTGTTGATGGAGAAGAGGGATTATTCTGACATTATTTTGATGAACACCACCAGCTCGCTAAGGAATTTTCACACCTTTTTCTGGACACTGTGTAGGGATGCTGCAGTAGAGCAAAGCAGGGGAAGAATACCTCAGCTGAGATACTCGAAGGGACGGAAGCGTGAGTAATTATTCTCTAGCTGTTGAGTAATTAGAACGACTCCTAGGGAGATAAATATAGAGTATCTTCCCAAGTAGGAGTCGTTGTCCTTCCTGCAAACTAGAATTTCAGAAGAGAAGCTCTATTGGAGGAGACACTAGAGTACATAGATGCTTTCTTTTGGAAGGAATGTGTTAGGAAGTAAATAGAAATGAAAATTTCCGATTTCGATCTACCTTGTTTGAATCAATGCCTTCTGGGTTGGCCTCTTCAATGCTATGTCGCCAACTGATACATAGCCAGTCCTTTTATCCTTCTAAAGAGATATGGTACATAACCTGGTCTACCAACCACATAAGGACCGAACGCTTGATTGTCTTTGCAGTCGAACTGAGTTTCGACCATAGGACCATGTGTGTGTACATTAGAACATTATGTTATTTGGCACATCGCCAACTCCACCTATGCATTTATAGAAGCTATTGTAGGTCTGTACAGTATGATTCATAGAAACGGACAAAAAAGAAGCGCACATGGCCACAAGCCTCCACAGAATTGTGAAGTGCGCGAAAAGGACAATTTCGCACGTTCCAGTGGGTGCTGAAGAAAAAAAAATGCAGATGAAGTAGAATTTCGGGTTTTTGGCAGTGGTAATATCACTTTTCCATCAGCAACATATCCGTGGCCACTCCGGAAATTTATTACCCTTCATGTATTAGATGAAGACCTTGCAACTAATTAGCCAAATCACACATACCTTCTACCATTTGGCCAATCTTAATCTTATTTTCCATATTAAGGTATGTGGGCACCTTGGGAAGAGGTTGTAGCGCATAGAAGCAATTCTGAGGATTCTGAGCAATTCTTGTTGCTCTGAGGGAATTCCAGCAATGGGCTCAATCAGTAAAATGATTGGATTTCGCCATCAGAGTCAGGCCCATCTTCAAATTCCGAGAAATTATTTGCTTGAACATTTTCCGATGGGAACCATCGTTCTCACCAGAAGCAAAATAGTAAATCCTTGAGGGACTCCTGAACGCCTCTTACGTGTGATAACTTCTTAGGTATCCGAGGCAGTGGGGTTGCTAACTACTTTCCTCCTAAGAAATGAAGAGTTCCTTCACGAAGCGGACGTTTTCCTATCATAAATACGATTTATAATCACCTGCATCATTTCTGCTTACATATTGTTCATACTTTTTTATTTCTTGTTTGAATCAGTTACATTAACACATGGCCCTTTTCAAACCTCAACCATCTTGAACCACCTTTTTCGACTTTTTTTTTTTGAGAAATTGGCCATGTGTGATCCATAAGTCAATGGTCCAAAGGATCTTTGGGAGAAATCAGGCAGCCGTGGAAGTCAGTGTGAAGAATGTGATATTAATTGATCGCGTTCATAAACAACTGCCTGAGTGCAGCCCTGATGGGCAGTCGACCGTGGCATTTATGTGATTTGGATGGGGTCTACGTCGCCAACGAGACGGCCACACGACCGCAATAATGATGAGAGCTGTAATAAGTTATTGGTGTTCATCCCAGAGTAACAGTGTCGGAGATCGATGCAACAATTTGTTCGTTTGGCCGATTCTACTTGGATCTACTGGCATCGAACATTCAAACAATCCATCCGAATCCATTCTGTTGAGGGTTTAATTGTAGGTTGTTAATTTGACTAAACTCCTTCAATTTAAGAAGTTTTACAGCAGAAAAACTGCGCCACTCGCTGAATCCTCTTCTTTGCCTTTCCTGCGCGTAAGTAATGAGCAGTCTAATGATGATTCTGCTATATTGCTACATATTCCTAAGTTGCCGCTCACAGTGGTCTCGTTCCAGGTATATCCTATTCACTACTGGACTCTCCTTTCGTAAGTGAACTGCCGTCGTGTGTATCTTCGCACGACTCGGTTGCTTCCCATGCAAACGGCAGACATGGCTGTTCGCAGGAAGATGCACTTTTTGCAGTCGACATGCATAACCGCTGGATATGTGAATAATGCTGAATGTTTAAGCATTTCGGTATGCAAAGCGCGAACATGTCGTGCATCACAACTCCTGCTAGACCGTTGGTCTTATGTGTACAATCGTATCGAAGAGATATTCTCATATTCCGTGGTGATGCACAGCGTCGGCGATTGCCACCAGGGGCCAGTCGCCGATACGTGTGGTTTGTGAGTGTTGCGGGCAGAGAAGAGGTGATTAATTATGATACGACGACTCCGCCGAGGATGCCCCTCCCGCAGTTGACGTGATATATGGGCAACTAGCCAACGCGACATTTCCCACTATCGATTACTTTCGCACAACGCTTCAAGGTTCTTTACGGAATTTCCAAGCTCTCATTTGTCCCGTTAATGACCGGACAGTATGGGCGACCGGATAAGGCGTTCCTTAACTGCGAGAACAAAGTAGCGAAAGGAAACCAACGGCGACTTGCAATGTTAAAGGTCGTCCGCGAGCGATGGTTACCGTAATACCAACGCGGCTAGTGGCGCTCGCAATTCATGTTTCTGTTAATGACCGCGTTTAACTGCTCGCGCTCGTTCATTGCTTGACACTCTCCAATTAATAAGGAAACGACTTCTGGTTATACGGTAGCCGGATGGATATGGTAGATGGAAAAAGGTCTTCTCACCATAATTCGTAATTGGCGTTTTTAAAGAAGTAAATTACAATAAAACTGCTGACTGCTGACGTACCTGCCGCCGTTATAACATCTGTCTCACTTCGGAATTTTTTGGAAAATTACTTAATCACTGCTCACCCTCGCCTATAACCTCTCTAGCTTGCAGTTTTTCCAGGACCTCACTTAGTTCAATTTGGAATGACCACGCCTGGCAAATTTTTGAATGCAATCAGGACTGAGGATGAGGGTCAGAGTATTGAAAACTAAAATGTAACCCAACTACGAGGCAGCTGTCAGGATGTGTTTCAGATCCCAAGGCTTCGATCCCGACATAGAGCACGCAAAGACGTTTACAGCTTCCTCCTCAAAGACCTGCAGAGTGCGGGCTCTCCCATTGCACAGTGCTCTAGTGCATCCAGTAGGGATGAGCTCATAAGAGAGAGCTAATCCCTCTTATTTTGAGACGTTACAGTGGTTCAGCATTATTACTCTCTATGAGGTTAAAGTATTATTATAGTATGGATATGAAAATATAGCGCAGCGAAAACCTTGCAAGTTTTAATGTCAGAAGGCTTCTTTCGGCTGGCAAAAAAAGAGAACATGCCCTTAGCCGAATGAAGTCGTGATTAAGTTATTAGTCATTGGACAATTATACTAGTAACCAGGTAATCGGTATCAGTCAATTAAGAAGCTATCAGGCAGGTTTGAATCCTCTTTGCTGCGAGCTGAGCCGGGGATGGGGATCAACCCTCCAGTCTAGGGAAAATGTAAATGCTCATTCGAGTTAACCAGTCGCCCGATGATGTATGGTTTCATTATTGCATGGTGATGAGAAGCATGTGTCTGTTCGTGTCCGAGCCTTTTCGCTTGTTTTCGAGGCTACCTCAATGATAACCTAAGTAATGAAGTTTGAGTGTGATATCCTGAGACATTCTGTCTACGTTCCGATCAGACCAGATTTACCAAAGACCTCGGAAAACAGCTGTCAAATAGGATCTGAGATTAAAACCGAATGAAACTGTTTAATGTTTCTCTATACGTACGAAACTGTAACTCAAATCACGTAATAGTGCTTTTGGTTCACTGCTCGCAGTTCTGTATGAGCGGCACAAGATCGTTCGGCAGTGATACCAGCGCTATCAATGCCAAGCCATCTTCTACCGCTCGTGCGGCAGTGCGAGCAGTGAACCAGAAGCAGAACGGAGACTGATTGGCGAGCGTCACAGCGTTGAAGTGGACCTTCCTGTCAGTGCCGATTGTGAAGACTAGCTGCTTTAGTATCTTCCAAATCAGTATTCATTTCCATGGACTGATCTGAATTGACACTTGTGTGATGATATATGTCACCAGCACTGTCGCTATCGTCCGGAACCCACCTTTTGAGCTTCGCCCTGTCTACCACTATCTCAGTTTTCGTTGGGTTTTCCACAGCACTACCATTACCAGACACTATCACTTACTTCATATGAAACCTAACCCGTGATTGTCCGTCTATTTCTATGTTTTCTGTACATCTGGTCGTCCGAAAAAAACGTCTACTGGTTTTTCTGTTTCACTATAGTTATCGGTAAAGTTTTGCCGACGAACAGGCTTCAAAAACATGGAAACAGATGAGCATTCAAGCTTTACATGAATCAGATGAAAATGAAAAAAGTCCTTTCATTCTTTAATTGTTCGGTCAAATATTCTTTGGTTACCCATTTCAAGTATATGCTGCCTTCAACAGCAAAGAAGTGCAAATGTCCTTATACCTGTAACTGTGAAACGTGAGCGGCCAAAGGAGCTCAGTTGTGGTAGAGTAGTGGTTCGTACTGCACTCTGAGGCTCCGAACTCGCAACTTGATGGAGAATTGATGGTGCCTCTTTGTGTATCGAGCGCGTATGGTGCAGCTATCAATCAAAAACCGCGTATACAATAGACTGGGAACAGCCGTGAGACGATCGACGACAGACCGATCGTGACGGCGACCCCATATCGCTAGTGGTTTTCCACCCGGGGACCATTGCCATTAGAGTGTCGGTTTGAATGATTTGTTCTATATTCAGATTCCCCAATCTTGCTGGTGACGAGTCTGCTCGAGATGCGCAGGACACGCTGGCTTCTTTCCAACCGCTCATTAATAGTCAATGCAGCGAACAACTACGATTCTTCCTCTGTTCCGTCTACTTCCCAATGTGTAACGAGAAGGTGAAGTTCTTTGAAAAATAAATAGAAGTGGATAAAATCAGTTCCTGTCTCAAAATGACAAATCAGATAAGGAAGGTCAATGGAAACTGCGGCCATGTAGTTGATTGGAAAAAAGGTTGACTCAACATTGACGGACTTGGAAACTCTTCGCGGAGATATGTATGAGTCAATCAATGGCAAATGATCTACCGAAAAGATCTGGCTAATCATCCGTTCTAGTACATAGGTCCTGATGAACAAAATGTACAACAAAGAGAGCACGAAACTCACCAAACTTCGAGAAACCCGAAATGGATAGTATTGTCGCATAGGTCCTGAAGAGGAAGTAGAGAGACCGGAAAAGAACTTTTATATTGCATAATTTTTTCGTTCGCCAGCTGGAATCAATCAAAATCCCAAGATGGGCTTGGCAAATACGCAGGGCACAGAGGGTGAGAAAAGTTTCGCAGGTCATAATTCACCTTCATGTTAGGGTAGGGCGATACTTTTGAAAGCAATACTTCATATTAGGCCAGCAATGAATCACCCATTCTTGAGGTTTATATTGATCTAAAGTAGTCCTAATGATGAACTGATAACGATCTGTATCTAATGCATTTGGTTCAGATCCCGCAGCCGATTGGGCCATGCCGCCCTCTATGCGAGACCGTGCGCGACAAATGTCTACCGCTTCTCAAAGATTTCGGCTTCTCGTGGCCGACACAAATCGATTGCAGCAAATTCATCCTCGGTGAGCAGTTCAAGTGAAGACCTCTTCATAGATAAGCAAGGGAGACTTTCATAAGCAGATTGGGATTGAGCGCCTCGAGCAATACATGCTCTTGAAAGCGCCTGGTATGACAATTGTTCAAAATATGGCCCTTCAAATTCTGTCTGGATCCAACCTGAATCTTTCACGGCTGGATTGGAACTCATTTATCACGCGACAAGTTCGGGTGCACATTAAGTTGTCATTACGCTGTATTGTGTTCGTTTCTTCGCTTTCCAAATCATGAATGAAAGTCTGGTCAAGAACACAGGAAACAATTATGCCTGACCACATCTGCGCCGAGTCCTTACGTTCAGAGTCTTTTCCGCTTCATGACATATAGACTCAGAGTACGACACCTTTCCCACACTTTCTGGTCTCGATCTTTGAGCTTGTCAATCTGCCCAGAAATCCGCAGAATTTGGCCAAAACCTAAGATTGAATACCACACCACCCATTTGAGGCGAGTTTCGGCATCAGCAGGAATCCTAGAAACTCAGTATCGAAGGCGCAGCTGTAGATGAAATGATCTGTAAGATTTCCCCCTAAGATGAACGTGTGAGTTAGGATACCAAGTGGGACATTGCATCGTCGAGGAACGACCTCGACTGGGTGTAATAAGGGCTCCAGAGCTGGTTTGGCCGACGAACACACCCCAAAGCGGCCGTGTTGTGACGAAGACTACATCATCCACAATGAACGGTTAGGCGTCGATGTATAGTACGCCTATGTGGGAGACATTTTACTAAGTACTAGCTTATAAAAAGATGCTTCAAGGAACGGAGACCTTGGACCTAATTGGTATGGCTAGGGCTGGTACCGGCACCGTTTCTATAAATTGTGCAACAATGAATTAAGATGACCAGCCAATAAACAAGTCACTGATTTTATCCTCCTAGACGAATCTGGTACCGATTGACCGATCCAGGAAGAACGAAAGGTTTGGTTGGCTCGGCAAGTGTCGATCTGAGATTCGAACCATTCGGACCATGCGTGTGTGGTAGTGCGCCACTTGCCGCTGCAACACCTTGCCCCTGCACCCCTTTTACATGCTCAAAAATATAAAATGAACATGTATTGCATTTATATATATTATATATATATATATCCAGAAAACAACAACGAAGATATGTGCATGCGGGGTCCAAATGAAGAGGGTGTGATCGCAAGGACTCCAGAAGAACAAGACAGAGAGGACTGTCCGCCTGAGCACATCTACGTGAATCGTAGCGGTCGTTGTATTCCGATCTGTGCAGCAGGGCAAGGCATCAAGCAGGTACCCTAATATAAATGCTTTGTGGCTTGTAATAAGTTCAACCTTTTTTCTGGAATACAGTAGCTCAGCTAGCTTCAGGCCGATCGTGAATCAGCGTCGACAGCACTTTTCGCGCTTTCTATCATCAGCATTGTACTCACAGCCATTTGTGTGTTGACATTTGTGATGAGGTAAGTTGTATGAGGCTTCTCCAAAGTGACTTCGCAGAATCAACAAAAATCAGATCTGGAAGCAATTTGTTAATTGAGGTATACAATTCAAAGTGGTACCTTCAGACGTCACTGCCTCACAGCGCTACCGGAAACCAGTCTCCTCTGGACCGCGCTTTCATTTGCTCTCAGCTCCATCGTATACCTCTTCAGCCTTCTGTATCGCGAACAGGTGAGATTAATAATATAAATCGTTCGTTTCGCTTCCGAAAACCAAGTTCTGGTGGATGTGGACTCCATGTTACTATCCTGTGGCCTGGCGCTGGCAGTACAGATTCTACAGCTTCTGAACGGTTTTCATTTTACGAAGGTTTAGCACCTTTTTCTTGTAAATCATCTCACGAGAGATTAACAAGCTTTGGAGTAATGGATCGTTGGCGAAAGTTGAAAACAATGGTTATGCCACTACTTCAGTCGACTTTGTCCTTTTAGATATCTTGCACTGACTACTCGTCACATTTACTATTCGTGGTGGGTGACCTTCCCCACACACCATGCGCTTCTGTCTCGGCGCTGCTGTACTACTTCGGTACTGCAGGTCGTTTGTGGTGGCTTGTACTTTGCTGCACATGGAATCAGCAAACTACACGTTCAGGAAACCTGGTAAGTGTTCTGAGTCAAATGCGTCCAATAGAAATATGGTCATTCTGAAACCTTTCAGGAGAAGTACCGCGTACAGATTCAAGCTCTCGCTTGGGCAGCACCACTTGGATTGGTGCTATTCGCACTCATGGCCCGGAGCACTGGTGGCGATCCTCTAAGTGGAGTGTGCGTTATCGGAGCAGCTAGCAAGGTAATTCACTTGCCTATTTTAGGGTAGCCTTTCGTTTGGCACGCTCTGCAGGCTGTCCATTAGTTGTGAAACGACTTTGAGCAAGGCAATTCTTTCGGTTTAGGCGTTGGACGGCGTGTTCAATCTGTTGCGTGACCTAGTCTTTGTGATTGCCTCATGTATCCCATTACTTGTTGGTTTTCGTGGTATGCTCACATCACCGCAGGCCACAATTGCCGCCGGTCTAGAAGGCGCGCTCTACCCGACGGCTGCGCTGTTCTACATGTAGGTTATTCCACGACTTATCAGAAATTTCTACTCCTATAGAAGCAATTAGATGTGAGTTGCAGGCTGTCATTCGTAAACGACGCTTGGCAGCCATCAATGCACTGGACACACAGTTGGAACATCGTATCAGCACTAAAGATCCTTATCGACCCGATCCTAGGTGTATTAGCGGCGTCTGCCTGCCTACTGCACATCATCATCAATCTCTGCCGTGCAATCAGGTACTGTTGGCTGTCCGAATTAATAGTGTATTATAAAGTTGCATATCCTAGTCGTTCCAACCTCATATCAGTGGTGGACACTGAAAACTGTCAATTTCTCCTCGTTTTTTCCATTGGCTTCAGTTCTGGTATGTAGCCAAACGAATCCCATTCATTTTTGTCAGCAGTATGGATCGAAGGATAAAATTGATGTTTTTGATGGCGATAGATCCCATGTGCCATCTTATTCGATCACCATTCTGAGGAGCAAAGGAATGTTCCAAAACGATAGGTCTCCCTAGTCAAGGATGTGTAAATAGGTCCAAGACAGTCATACTCACCGGTTACAATTTAGAAAAAGGGAATGACGTCAAGGAGCATTTTTTGGAGCTCTCAAGGACCAGCTCTGGGCCTCCTCATGCTTACACCGGATGTCGTTACAGAGGTTCAAGATCAGTGAAGATCATTCTACGCTGATGACATCCTGGTAACGAAGGGTAGGAATGAATTAGAGAACATGCTGCAGAAAATGAGTTCCTACCGATAGTGAAGGATATCGCTTTAGCTCCATTGAGTCGCAAACTCTATTGGAGAGGGCATCGAAAGAGAACAATACTCCCGGCACACCGGAAAAGACCCGAACTATTCACAACAGCGTTGACCTGGCTCCAAAGACTGGACCAAGGGGATGGGTCTATGAAATGGAGGAGTCCGCTGGTAACCGCTGTGATCGAGGTGTTCCATGACACTCATGAAGTATCCTCTTCGATTGACCGTGCTCCAGTGCGCTCGTGGAAAGCAGCACCGGCAAACAAAGGCGTCAGGGCTGTCAAGCAAATAACCCTATTTAACTGAAGATGAGGAAGCATCATTTGCGATGATATGGACATGGCTGAAGCCTTGGGTCACTCGATTAGAAGAGCAGTAAAGTTCGATGCTCAAAAAAGCGGTCAAGGAAAGCTCCGAAGACGTGATGAAGGGCCGTGATCAATAAGGATCTCTCCGAAACCAAGGTAGTAGCGATAGACAGCAACAAGAGGCTGCCGTAGACAGAAATAAGTCCCCAAATCACATGAGCAGCGGTACGGCGATTGAAAGGGTTCTATGCCAACCTTTTTCAGAAAAAAATACGAGAGTGACACCCTCGATGGTGGGTAAGGAAGCTGTAGGGCCAACCGATATGGGAAGCAATTAGGTTGAATCCCGGGGGAAGCAACCAAGTGAATGAATGAGTGAAGAGGATTGGACTAGTGCAATACCGTCGAATCCCTGCCCAACAGGCACCTACTTTTCTTCTTCAGCCTTTTTTACTGCCTGTGCGTTCATCTCTAGTATTTGTAGTACGCTTAATTTGATACCACAACCCTAAATTACAGGTAGAGCGTACAAATAGCAAGAAACGTTTGAATGTTCACATAATGCCTTTTGTTCAGGTCTCCTGTTGCTGACAAGCATGGCTACCAGCCGGCAGTGCCACGAATCCCTCAGCCAGCAATTCCTGTTAGCATTCGTTCTCATAACACTTACGCGACTACGTCACAACGAATGCCGATCTGTTGATGATCTCTTTTCGGACTGTCTGGGACAAGTCTGATTGCCCTTTGTGTTTTTGCTGAAAACACTGCCGATCTATTAGTAGTCTGTGCTTGCCATCATTTTTTTCAGCATTTTACCATGACAAGTGTACATAAGGATTTCCCCGTGTCCCCACCTATTTGGATGATTTTTCATTTTGAAAGCATTTGACTTCTGCTTCTGATTTTCGAAGGGAAGGTGCTCTTGATTGCTTGATATTCAAGTGAGATTGCTTTACGTAATCAATAAATGGTTTATTGCTCTTGCAACTGGTTTACTGATAAAGCGCTAGAATTTCTAGTTAACACAAGACGCAATGAAATGGGGAGCATCAGTAGCTGGACTCTTTCGCCTAAATACAACATAACAAGCATCGATCATGATAAAATGAAAGGTCCCTTAAACCTGCGAGTTTCATAGCACATACCGTGTTCAGCCATCCTCTGTTTGGAACCACTTCTCACGAACTAGATTCAAGAATGCGAAAAGATTTATAGCTACACAACCGTCGTCGAATCGTCCAGTTATGGGCATGCCTCTTAGCCTCTGTTTTGAAAAAAAGGCACACTTTTTTCTAATAAAATATATATAAATGACTTGGAGAACATGTGTGATAAATCAGTTCTGTTAGAAAGATGAACCGCAACTCTCCATAGAATTTTATCGACCTCGAACTTCCGATAAAAAACGAAACGTTCCTGTGCTTATCGTTTTTGAGCATCCCTCGCTTTCCCAAGTGCGCTGCAACCCCTTCTTTTCTTCTCGTTCTATGAAACTCAATAAGCGTTATAGTGCTCACTTTCCTCACGATCAGAAGTCGACCAAAATTGTAATTATGTTGAAAAACTCCTCTATCGGGTGCTTTGTTCACAGTCGGTTAGAAATTTGATAAAGAAGAACGACACAGTTCAGCAAAGTAGCAGTCTTATAAACTTTTCAATATTTTGTAGTCTTTTCAGAANGTTGAGTGGCAGTATCCATATCATAAAATGTAGAACCTTTGAAAAGCCTTTCTGGTGTAGATTGATGCCGTTTTCAGGATGCTCTCCTGTACTAAGCTTCCATTCAGAATACTAGTGATGTTTCTGGGTGCGTGAGTTTGCTATACCATTACATGCAGTGGCTAATTGATGTGATAAAGATCAGTCCTTTTGTCCTATCAGATTAGCTCGTACCGATTGACCAACCTCGAGAGGTCGGAAGGCTTAGCGGGAATCGCCTTCGCCCAGAAAAATGCAAAAAAAAGATGTTTCTCCAACAAAATTCTGTATTCTGTAGGACTGGCGATAAGAGGAGCACAGCAATGAGTGGCATCGTGAACCACAGCGCAGAAGGTGATTCGGTAGCGCTTTCTAGTAAATGCCCAATAACCTCTGGTCTAAGCCGCAGAAGGATTATGCCGTTACATTTTGCCTTGTGCAGAGTGAAATAACTAGTGAATAGCACTCGTGCATTTCAATTCGCATGCCACCGTATTTCGCCCTTAGTCGTGGGAGTGGCTAATCTACTTGTTTGCCGATAACTTCGAATGGGCTTTTTTTCTGTGGAATTCTTCTACAAAGTTCATCATAAAATGCCTATCTTTGCTAACTGGATAGGATTCTAACGATTCTCAATTCAACTCGACCTGACCACAGCACGCTCGACAGTCGCGTTTGAAAAATGGTTCACTAATGGCGACGAGTCAAGCGAATATTTAATTCTGAGCAATCAATTTGAGTCAGCTGCTTCACATACAAACAGATTGTCTCTTGGATTTTGGCTGTGAGAAAGTCAAGGGGGTCAGTGAGTTGCGATGAATATGTTCCGGAAGTATAGGCGCAAATGTAACCCTACATTTTAGGACATTTCTTCCTTCAGAAGAGATTCATATTTCTCCAATATATAATATTAAGTTGATGCATAATTATTGCGGATGTTTTTCAACAGGTTTTATTTAAAACGATGAAAATATTTAACAAAGATGTGTTCGAATCGTTAATACGGAACGTACTAATCATCTACGTCAGGCATCGCTTCCCATTTTCTAGGCAGTTGGTTTCCTAAGGCGGACAATTTTCGGTTCTTGGATGTCATTCACGCCTTGACATCGGCCATCAAGCCATCCATTTCTTCGTATGTTCTGGTTGCTAGACAATTTTTCAAGGAACGGTTGATGTAATAATCCACAGGAGCTTCTGTGGGTGGATATGACGGATTTAGGAGCAGATCACATTCCTTATTTGGCTGTGGCTGACTGCTCCATCACCGAAAAGTTCGTTGAGATGGCGCAATGACTCTGTCACCTTGTAACTTTCTCGAGATAGTAGAGCATAATATGGCGAATGCAAGGGAACTTTTTAGATGCATTTCTGTTAAGGGAAGCGAAGAGATTATTTCTATAAACTTTCTATAAACGATTACTTCAGATTTTAAATGGCGAACTGTTCCAGGGCATAGGTAGAGGTCCTGATCAGAATCAGAAATTTTGAGACTACACTTGTTTATCTGCCTCATCCCAGCTCTTTCTTTTTTGCAGGGGTGGGCCTGGCGGGCTGTGCAGGCTCTTCATAACTGAATATTTTACGAATTACATACGTACTCAACGCTTTTTGTTCTTATATCCATACCTCAAAAATACATGAATGAGAGAACAATCATGGGAAGTCAGCTGAGAAGATAACGAGCAATGTCTTCCACCTCTACCCTCACAAAATTGGCCAGAACCGACATTGTGAACGCCAGAAGAAAGTTTATCTGATTGTGATTGTCAAGAATTGTTTGAGAGAATTGTGACTGAAATAAGATATGCTAAAAAATGAGCACAGTGAAAGATCTTCACAGCGAACAGGTATCCTATGAGCATAGATATCGAGTGAGCAGATAAGGGCTGATATGTAAACGAGTGGAATCTTATGGTTAGAGTAGTTCGCCTCAAATACAAGTTCGTTACCAAATTTAGCAGTAATTGTAATTGTTTATTGCACAGAATAACACCCAACTAAAATAATGAGAAGCATAAAAACCCAGAAGTAACGAACAATTCAGTGGTAATGGCGCAATGATATTGACAACTGGTGGTAGGATAAGAGCCGACCTGAGGTCGTTCAGCTGCAAGAGTCACTAATTTCAAAGTCACTTTCGTACATACAGAATTCAAAAACACACTGAATTCTAAAAGTGATAAAGAAGCGGTGAAGTGACTTAATTGACAGATGGGCGGTAGTAGGAGCAACATAAGTCGAAGGGATGGGAGTGTTTTCAGACAAAAAAGAAGCACAGTAAGACACAGAGTATGCATGATGGAAAACTCGTGTCAACTGGTGATAGCTAGTGACGAATAGTGAAGGGCAGGGCTTCAAAATTTTTCTATCAGTCTTGAGAATGGTGCAGATCAGGTATCGGCACATATGGGCAAATTGGTAATTGCGTACAATGGTGATGAAAACGGTAGTGTGAGATTCAGGGACTGGACATGGAAAAAACGAAATTCCTCTTATTCGTAGGTGCATACATATCTGCGCTACATCCGCGAAACTTGAGCACTCCGTTCTCAGTGAATAATCTAATCTCTTCACAAGGCAGGGAATCAAAAGATATGTGACGATGATAAAGATATGTGTGTGTGCGACACTTAATTGCTTACTAAACTTAGCCTTCCCAGCAGATTGCGAAAGAGAAGGCCGAACAAGCTTGCAAGTGGTTACTGGAGCACGTCAGTTACCGTTTTTCACAAAGTAAGTTCCACTCCTCTGACCTCCTCCCACATGAATGACACCATCGAGGTCAAATGTCAATCGTACGAATGTTCGCCATTGAATTTGGTCAGTACCACTGCGACCACTGCCAATAACCGAACCCAGAAGTAATATCGTCGATGTCGGAAACTCAAGGGAGCCATCCCAGCCGCTGAAACATAAGGCTCACGTTGACAATGATTAATAGGCATTTTCACGAAACTTGGGAGTCTGAACTTTCTCTTTAGTGCATGGAGGGTGCCAAATTAGAGGGAATCAGCCCTTCCGCTCGAACAAAAGATTTTCAGCTCATTTTGCGTCACGTCACTTTAGCTTTTCATTTAGTGCTGTGCTGCGCTTGCAAGTACTGGTAGATCCTCATCATTCTTGGTACAGCGCAATGTGAAGTGGCGAAACCTTTATAAAGCATGACTATTTAGGTTCCAAAAATCATGGGCTATCCTAGCCACAACCATTGAGGCAACTTTTAGAAGCAGCATACATATACATATAGGTTGTCAAAGTATTTCCAATTAACTTCCATGGAATTACAGAGCGGTGGAAAGGTAGGATATTTTTAAGCAGGCAATGGAAAAAGGTTAATGTACAAAAAACGTTGATTACTGTGACAGGCACAACCAACATTTTGCTAAATAGTGTCAACCCAAATATGGAGATACGTTGCGTTTTACCGATTTGGTAATAAGCAAGTGTTGTCCATTTCGGAAGTTTTGCGGAACATTGCAAGGTGCGCGAAGTGCATACAATCGATGAAAAACTTGAGGCTTTGTTTTCTGAATTCACAGCGCGATGTCAGTCGAAGCTTCAGATGAAGCTATTTCATCAAGAATTGTCGGTGATTTCAGGATTCTCACAAGTCTATGGTGAATTTTAGCGCTTTTGTAACCGGAAATTATCATGGATGGTGCATTTCGACATGATAAACTCGGACAGACACCCTGCTCAATCCATTCCGTTCCGTGAGTCGTTATGTAACTTTTTAACCGTTGTTTTGAAGCCGATCTAGCGCTGCATTCTCAGGCCCATGTAATACATTTCCACCTTTTTTTTCTTCATAAGTTGATGCTGTGCATAGGCAGTAAAGATTGTCGGAACTTAGGTCAAGCTACACCTTTTCAATGGCAAACCTTTGATTCGGATTGCGAAGCTTTCGTATAAATAATATATGTGGATAGGTGCTACGAAGACACCTTTTCCACCAATGTCTCCTTTGTTGCATGCTCCGAGGAACAATTCTTCCGGAGTCTC